CACCTTCTATTGTTATTTCTACAAAGGGTTTTCTTTTTCTTGACAGAAGAGCCTGTTTTGATGCTGTCAGCTTTGTAATAACTGCAGAGGAGGGAGAACTACATCACTTAATGAATATTCATATCAAAGAGGTATTTATAACACTTTTCATGTCAGTGCTCTTTTACCCTTCTTCAGCACATACTTCGAGAATTACAATGAATTTTTGAAAGCCTGGAAGGAATAACTCCAATATCTATAGTAGGATATAAAATGCATTTTTAAACTACAAACCCTTATGTGGGGTTTTTATTATAAGAAATAAGCATGTGTGTGGGGGGGGGGAATCACACCAGGAAATCCAAGATTAAAACAGTAGAGGAGAGAGAGCTGAGGTATAAGTGGCATACTAATTTGCAAGCAAGAAAACATATGAATATTCACAATAAAATACAAGCGCCTCCAACAGAGGTAAGGATTTCTCTCTTTTTGTTTATTAGGATGTTCCCTGATTTTAGAATAATATTTCACACAGAATAGACACCCAGGAGACCTGTTGAATAACTGGGTGACTGAACGCATTAATTGTGTGATACAGAACATCAACATTTCCACACTCAAATAACAGTGGTTCCAGAGTCAACAAACAGAAGCGCCAAATTCTCAACAAAAGCGAAAATACAAAATTTTGATATACAAGTGACTAGAATATAGCATGGGGAAAATATACGTAAAATACTCTGATGTGATATGGAAAAGCAATCTGGAGCTACAGACTAATTGAACAGCCTACAAACACATCTAAAAATCATCTAAAAATGCATCATCTAAAAATATGAAGTTTGGGAAGATTATTTGCCACACACACACTTCACAGTATTTATTAGAGTGGCCCAGAGGGTATAGTCTGATTAGTCCAGCAATGCTGTCTCCCTGTAAGGCCTAGAATCCAACAGTTGTTCTGGACACAAGGCTGGATGTTTTAACTGGTGTTTGGTCTATATTGGGAGTCCTAAAGAAGTAGATTCTAATGTCAGTGAAGGAATGCTTCAATAACAGGATAGATGAACTTGCTATCTAGACTGAGGGCAAGCAGGCAAAGAACAAACCTTCCATTTTCCATGCCTTTTATGGGGCCTGCCATCAGGAGGTGTGTCCCAGATGTTACGGTGAGTCTTCCAACCCCAAATGATCCCCAGACTTAGGGTAGGTCTTTCCAAGGATCGAATTTACAAAAATTCCTCATAGATGCACTCAGCTGCTTGGACTTTATTTAATTCCAGATCTAATCATTTGACAACCACAATTAGCCATCACATAAGCCCAAAGTGAAGGTATGAATATATTAAAGTTCAAACATCAGGAACAACAGTAAGTTTGAATGCTAAAGTTTAACTTTATCCTAAAGCAAGAAACAAATATAGTATACTCAAATAAAACAAGTTTTATGAAACAATACCTACCCCTTTTCATTTCATAGTTTTAGTATTTTCTAAGCTATTTCATCTTTATTTAATTGCTAGCCAAAATGTATTGTTTCAAGGTCCATTTGTTTGAAAAACATTGGCTTGAATCAGTACATGGATGTGAAGAAGTTGGTGCTGTCCTTATCATGCGGTACTTGGGATCCAACTCCAGCCTTCAGGCTTGGCTATGTTTTGTTATTAAGCCATCTCAAAACAGCATACAGCTTCTCACTACAAAAGAAACACAGAGAATATTCTGCCAGCTGTAACTCTCCTCCTATCTGGAGGAGTGAGGTGGTGTAAGAGTTCCTGCTGAACTTACGTGTTGAGTAAGCTGTGATCTGGTTCCCTTTTCCACTCCAAACTACTCCTTGTAATGGAATAAGTAATGGGTTCCCTGTCTATGCCAAGCCAAGATATAGCAAAAAGAAATTTCATGGACTTTTTCTTCTCTACACTTTGCACTTATGGCCTCATCATCATTCAACCAACAGGAGAAGATAAACTGAAGCTATTCTCATTTCTGAGATCTTGAAATCAGTATATACTTGAATTATCTGAGTTTTCCAAAATGACATCATCATACTTAACAAAACCCAGGCTCTTCATCTAGGCAAAAACATGATTGCTCATTGACAGCAATTCAGTCAAGACCACTCACTGAGATATTCTGATGCCTTTGTTCTCTTCTAAGGACAATAGAACTCCAAGTCTGATGAAATTTATCTTACTTAGAAAACAAATAAATTAAACATAAGCAGTTAATAACAACAGGTATGAAGGAAAAAAGATAGTATCTTTTATTGGAAAATATTACTTTAAGTAGCCAAAGAAAGCAGTTCTCAGTGAAGTCACTGCTGTGAAGTGATAAAGAGGGAACTCTTTTCCAGAATTTGGCTACACATAAGTGAATATGTGATCCAGGGAAAAATTATAAGTGTAAGAAACGCATTGTTTCTTGATCCAAGGGAGTTAGGAATGCTAATATGAGATGAAATGGGAGATCTTCTGAGGTCATGTGATTCTCCTAATTAGAGAAAGGGAAATACCTCAGATGATGTGATCATATATGGATTTTTGTAAAGCTCACATTTGCAGCTATGTGGAAAATGGATTAGTTGGGGGTATGGCTAGCTACAATGAGATTCCATCAGAGAATGATTGCCAGAAAGACACTTTCATCTTCTGTAGAATTGGATTTTGCTGGTTAAAAAAAAAAAAATGGAGAAAAGCGGATGAACAAACAAAATATACTTATTTTTACAAGATACCACAAAAATTAACAATTGGGTTCACAGTAAACACATTGTGGGTCAGGGCGATGATTCACTAGGAAAAACATGTACAGCCAAGTCTGAAGACTGGAGCTGGATCCCAAGTACCACATGATAAGGAGAGCACCAACTTCCTCAGTTGTCCTTTGACATCTACAAGCATGCATGGCACTTGTGTGTATGCACACATGTACAACAACAAACTTCATTCATCTCAAAAATTAAACACTGATCACATCCAAAAGTGAAAACCGGTGGTTTGAGGGCAGAATGAAAGAAACAGATGCTAAGTGAAAACCCAATGAGTGCTATAAAACTCTCACATTCATAACTAATCTCATGTCCTATTCTAGGCATTATTAAAACGTCTACTATCTTAGTTTCATTAAAGTAAGATATTAAACCTTGGCAAAAAGGAATACCTGTGTTAAGGATTTTCAGTTCTAGGTTGCTGAGCCCTGACTATTGAAGATAATGATATAAGATTTAACTAAGATAATTAAATGAAAAAAATAGCAATAATCAGCTGGTTTCACATTAGGATTCCCTGGGGACCCTTAAAAAATAAATGGCTGATTTCCCCCTGAGTGACTCTCTAACTGGATTGAGGTAGACCCTGTCATAGGAATTTTGATAAAGCTCCTTTGAGGATTCAAATGAGCCACCAGGATGGTGAGTCTTGAGTTTAGAACTACATCTGAAGATGCTACATCAATAAACTTATTTCATTAGTGATATTAATAGAAAGGGTGAAGAAATTTTATCACCAAGTTTTTCATGGTTAAACAAGTATTTTAAACACAAGAAAATAAAAGCCCATTGTCTTTTCTGTGATCAGTTTTGTTTCTTTGTTTGTTTTGCTTTATTTTGGCTTTTAGAGATAGAGTTTTTCTGTGTAGCTCTGGCTGGCCTTGAACTCATAGAGATCCTCCTCCTCTGCCTCCCAAGTGCTGGGATTAAAGGCTTGTGCCACCACCACCCCGTGTGTGATCAGTTTTTAAGCTTGGGAAAATGATATCCCTATTAAAACATTTACTTATTTTTAGAACTTTCAATGTATTAATTGTATATGTATGGGTATTTTGTCTACAGGTTTATGCATAACATATATAACTGGTACTCCTGTGGGCCAGAAGAGCAAAACAGATCCCCTGGGACCTGGGACAGGGGTTAAAGCCAGTTGTGAGCCTTCCTGTGGGTGCTGGCAATCTAACCCTGCTCTAAGAAAGCAATTAAGAGCTTTCTTAATTGCCGAGCCACTCTCTAGCTCCAGACAGCACACATTTTTGCTTTTTTTTTCTATTATAATGAAGATATTAGTAGCTTCTTCTTGACTGACAGAAAAAAAAAATAAAGTAATTGAGGATGTGGATGTCAATTCTGCCTTTACAAAAAGTTTAATTCTGCCTTTATCAGGTTTTTACAAAGTGAATTGCATTGGAAAAACAGTCAGAAAACATAAGGATTCCAACATTTCTCCAAAAACAATTTATGTATAGATACATAGATTTATCTGGGTACTAGCACACTGGTAATGGGTTTGAAAGTAACACACCACTGCTGTTATTTCTTCTTTAGTTTGAACCTCAGGATTTTTAGAAAAGGACTCCAAGCCAACCCAAACTATTCTCCATAAACAACGGTGGCTGAAAAGTTATTTGAAGGCCACAGCACTTCTCCTACGTGGCCTGGATCTCTCAGTACACCAGGGATCACTTTGGACTCAGAACCAAGATTTTGCATTGTTAAGTTTTCACTTTGCCCCCCTCCCCTTACACATCCTTCGTATCTGAACTCCAGTTGGAACAGAGAGCTTGATGAGCTACAAGTGTCAGGGAAGGGACAAGAACTGTGCCAACAAAATTCAGTAGTGGTGGTGGGGATTCTGTGAGGGTAATAGAGAGAGGTAGCTGTAAGTGGGTGTGTCTGCTTCAAGAGCGGGTGAAAACAAAAGAGACTGAGGGGCAAAAATCCAGAAATAGAGTGTGGTCCTACAGAAGGCTTTAGAGGAGTGCCCTGTAAACTGGGCGTGGTGACACACGCCTTTAATCTCAGCACTCCGGAGGCAGAGGCAGGCGGATTTCCGTGATTTCAAAGCCAGCCTGGCCTATAAAGAAAGGCCAGGGCAGCCAAGGCTATACAGACAAACCGAGAGCACCTGTAGCCCACGGAGACTCTGGGTGCGCTGCCCGGTGACGAGGGCAGACTACAAATCCCAGCAGCGCCCGGGACCCTGAGCCCGCGCGCGACCCCGCGCAAAGCCTGCTGGGAGCCGGCTGCCGGGGCCAAGATGTCGCTGGTCAAGAAGAGAAAGCTTGAGTCGGGGGGCGGCGGCGCAGGAGGGGAGGGAACGGAGGAGGAAAATGGCGGGGAGCAGGAGGCAGCCCCGCCGGGACCCCGGAGGACCAAGCGCGAGCGAGACCAACAGTACTACGACTGCTACTCCGACGTCTCGGTGCACGAGGAGATGATCGCCGACCGCGTCCGCACCGACGCCTACCGCTTGGGCATCCTGAGGAACTGGGCCGCGCTGCGAGGCAAGACCGTGCTGGACGTGGGCGCGGGCACCGGCATTCTGAGCATCTTCTGCGCCCAGGCCGGCGCCCGGCGCGTGTACGCCGTGGAGGCCAGCGCCATCTGGCAACAGGCCCGGGAGGTGGTGCGGCTCAACGGGTTGGAGGACCGCGTGCACGTCCTGCCGGGCCCCGTGGAGACGGTGGAGCTGCCCGAGCAGGTGGACGCCATCGTGAGCGAGTGGATGGGCTACGGACTTCTGCACGAGTCCATGCTGGGCTCCGTGCTCCACGCGCGGACCAGATGGCTGAAGGAGGGCGGTCTCCTCCTGCCGGCCTCGGCGGAGCTCTTCGTGGCCCCGATTAGCGACCAGATGCTGGAATGGCGTCTGGGTTTCTGGAGCCAGGTGAAGCAGCACTATGGCGTGGATATGAGCTGCCTGGAAGGCTTTGCCACGCGCTGCCTCATGGGCCACTCGGAGATCGTGGTGCAGGGTCTGTCCGGCGAGGACGTGCTGGCCCGGCCGCAGCGCTTCGCCCAGCTCGAGCTGGCCCGCGCTGGCCTGGAGCAGGAGCTGGAGGCCGGGGTAGGCGGCCGCTTCCGCTGCAGCTGCTATGGCTCGGCGCCTCTGCACGGTTTTGCCATCTGGTTTCAGGTGACCTTCCCGGGAGGGGACTCGGAGAAGCCCCTGGTGCTGTCCACCTCGCCTTTTCACCCGGCTACGCACTGGAAGCAGGCGCTGCTCTACCTGAACGAGCCGGTGCCGGTGGAACAGGACACGGACATTTCGGGAGAGATCACCCTGCTGCCCTCCCGGGACAACCCCCGGCGTCTGCGCGTCCTTCTGCGATACAAAGTGGGGGACCATGAGGAAAAGACCAAAGACTTTGCCATGGAGGACTGAGCGTTGCCTTTTCTCCCGTCTGCCTTCTTCGGAGGGTCAGAAGAAAGAGGGAGATCTCCTATGCACGTAGGGGACATACTGTGTCTCTTTTACCTCACCGTTTCTGGGGAAGGAAGTGACTTCAGTCTTCACTTGAGGACATTCTTCTGGCAATGTGTATTCAAAAAGTGAGCATCCCTGACCAAGGACCGATGCAGTGTGCTTATCAATGGGCTTTTAAGCCTGGAAAGCATGTAGTATCAAACTCTTTTGTGTTTCCGTGTCTTTTGTTTAACCGCGGGTGGGGGTGGGGGCCAAAATGTGAATTTATAATTGTTCCACGCGCTAATCTGACACCGAATCCCACTATCTCTTATGAAACTGGGAAGAAAAGCAAAATGTTTCAGTTGGATTGCGGGAAGTTTCCGGTATGATTTCTAGAGCTGTATTTTTTTTCAGTCTGAATTATCTCGAGTCCTAGGTACCTGTAGGATAATGGAATCTGTACTTACTTATGTTCTAAATAAAAGTCATCCCATTAGTAGTACAGGAGAAGTACTTTAACCCAGTTCTCATTATTCTTAATCCACAGTGTGCTAAATTTGATACAATTTAATAAAATAAAGACTATGCAATTCTAAAAGTAACAGAAAAAGTCTGAAAGGGAAATAGTATGGGGTTTGAATATTTTTAGTGTTAGTAAGACTGAGCCAAGAAAGTCTATATGTTTTATAATAAATATTTTTGTGATTCCTGCATAGCAGTCTGATGGGGAAGATTGCTGAACCTAAGACAGAGTGTATTCACTACCTCTTGTTCTTTTGCTTTATTTAAGCTCACTTGAAAGGAACATGAGTGTCCTACTTATGTCTAGTAAAAGTTCTTGTCCTCAGTTCTTTTTAGTTCAGCCAAATGTGAACATTGGGAATTTCGGGAAATTGCTTATAATGAAGTGTGAGTCATGTTATCAAATTTATTTCACTGACGTTCCTTTCCTCATTTCTGTGGCAAATAAAATGTCATTCTCATTTTTTTATAGTTGAGGCGTTAAGACTTGGTGTACCAGCTATTAGTTTGTTATAATGCTGTTACCTTTCTCATAGTGTCAGTTCTTGAACGATACAGCTTCTGCAGAACAGAGCTTTAGGACAACTCAAATTATGATTAACATGGTTTTGAATTCTAAGCTTTGGAAAGCTTAACAGGTGTGAAAAAACAGCTGTTCTTAAGTACTCTTGAATTTTATTTTTTGTAACCTTGCTTTTGTTTTTGGCACTTTTTTCTATTCATTGTATATTAAATTGCTAAAGTATTCAAGCTAGCTTTCTGTGCTCTATTTTGAAGAAAACATACCAATGTAAAAAAAAAAAGCAGTCTAGTAAAAACCCACATTTTGATGTCAAAATACTTGAGATCTTTTATAAAAGTTTGTTTTAGAGGTTTAAAGAGTAGTTCCTTTGGGAACAACTGTGTTTTTAACCAAGCTTTCATTTAAAGCGATTGATGGTGATTATGTTTGACCTTTCTCTAACAGTTCCCCTTGTATTTAAAAGTATTCTGTGGAATCCCTCTTTTCTGCATAATTCTGTAAATACAATTAGTACCCCCCCAACAACAATAAAACATGCACGAACACAAAAAAGAAAATCCAGTTAAAACTTGGGAGGGTGTGAGAAGAGACTTAGATTTTCCTGATTGAACAATGTAAGTTTCAAAATTCTAGTTATATTTTTTATAAAAATAAATTAGACAAATGCAGGAGCTGAAGCAGACACTAAAGACAGGAAGTGCAGCGTGGTATTTCAACAGGATATCTGGAGCCAGAAAACCCAAATACACACACTTCTGTGTCTTCAGCAAACCAGCCCACCTTCCAACTTTTCTTCCTTTCAGAGCCCTCGGGCAGACTGGTGATAACAATAGTACCTACTCCATCGGCTGTAGGGATGCACAGAATTGAGTAATCTAGAAGTCCAGTGCTGAATTTGTGTAAAAGGCAGACCTAGAGCAGTCTGGTGCTGCTTACAGAATGTGCTGCAGAATAAATTCTCGTTTTGTCTTTCTTTTTATAGGCACTGTTTGACAGTATCAGCATGGCTCTACATGAGGAGCAGTGTATGCTGCTGGGTACCAAAGGATCCAAAGGAGCACCACAGCCATTGGGATGAAGACAGCCGAGAGGGATGAAGGCCTGAGGTGTGTGGACACCCAGGCCCTGTCTGATACGTTTGTGTGTTGGGGCTAGTAACTTGGAGCCCTTAGGACTACAGGCCTGGATTATCGGACCCTAGAGAAAAAAAATGGTGAAGTTCCACCTACCTCCCTCACAGCTTGTGTTTATTAAGCCCTCTAAAAATTTCCAACTTTTTCATTAGTTTATTAAGCCAATGAGCATAGTTGCTGAAAATGCATTCTAATAGTCACTGCAACAGGTATTTGGGATTACAAGCTAATGTGAGCTCTACCCTTCAGCTGATCACTGCCACTAGAGAAACTAAAGGCCACAGTGGTAGGCTAGAGCCTGGGGTAGTTTTCATGTCAGGGATGGATCAATTATTTATTTTACTCACTAAGTAAAAAGATTTCTGTAGATATTGATTGACTTGCCCGAAGTCCCATAAATAATTTTTTCTTCTTTGTTTTGTGAGAGGAGATCATATATTGTGCAGGGCTGTCCTGGAACTCTGTAGCTGAGAATGACTTTGGATTCCTGATGCTCCTGCCCCCACCTTCCAAATGATGGAATTAACAGCTCTGTACCACTTTGCCCAGCACAGTCCTAATTCTTGGCAACTAGATCTTAAGCACAACTCTTTGACTTCTTAAACCTAAACAGAACTTCATTTTCATTATATTAAAGCTGTATACTTAAGTCAAAAAATAGGAAACTACGTATCATCTAAATGGTAACAAGGGTTTTATTATTTGATGATGAGGGGAAAATGTTTAGTACTAGAAAGTGTCTTAGACCTGCCTGGAAGAACCATCTTAGGCGCTCATTTGTATAGCCCCTATGTTAATTTCCTTAACAAGTTAATCAAATGTGACACTTTCTGGGTCCCCCGGAAAACAGTCCATGACAGTGGCAAAGGCAAGTCATTGTCATTTGAGCAAAGATGCATCTTATGGATCTAAAAGATAAAATAGAGTTCAAGATGATGAATATGAAAAGCACCTGCTGCAAACAGCTGCCTCACATTTTGTTTACTGCCAGCCCTGCTGTTAGCCCCACAGTTGACCCAGGGCTGAGGAGAGCTAGCTCCCAGGAAGTATTTATTAACAGGCCTCCCCTCTCAACATGTTCACCTCCGCTAAATATCAACAGCTGTGTAATATTTAAGCCCTGTGATAAATAAGCGCATCTGCCCCTCAGCTAGGATATAGTGGGGACAGTGAAGAGACATGAGTAATTTGCATGTGTCCACAAGCATGGAAATCCTTCCCAGCTCTTAGCTCTGCTGAGCAAGGTTAGAAAGGCAGTTGTCATCCTTTAAGCCTCTCCGAGGATCAGAAATCCTGTTGCTATTTTCAGGTAGAATGAAAACCTGAAAAACGTTCCCATCTGATGTCGTAAAATTACACAGTATTCTCCAAAATATTGGTCTGTTCCATAATAGAGAAAATATATTCAATAGGTGATCCTCAGCTACTAAAATAAAATTTAAGCTAAATCTATATTCAGCTGTGTGTGTGTGTGTGTGTGTCTTCCCCAGCTTTCTATGTGATTTCCATGCTCCAGTTTGTTGATGAATTATGCTCTCACTTGAAATAAATATTACATGTCGTTTTTGAAATTTATGTAACTTGGTCTATTCTTTGGGGCATTAAAGTACTTTTGTAGCTCTGGAGTGTGATTCTGGTTGAATACTTAAGTAGCCCAAGCAAGCCCCTGAATTCGATAACTAGCACTACAGAAAACAACAGGCTTTCTGGAGTAACAAATTCCAAAGATGAAAAGGTTTCTGTGGAGGAATGTTAATTCAGAACATGGCTTCTCCGGCAAGAGATGACATCCAAAGATCCAGATCTGTGAGCTCAAGCTGGAGTACAGACACTCCTGTAATCCCAGGAGACAGCACTCAGAAGACACTGGCATGCAGTTCTCATCAGTTCTGTTGGGGCAGTTTGATAGAGTGAGTTGAGAGGCAGTGCAATGGAGTTGAGAACATGGGAGAGTTTTTACTGGGAGAGTTTTACAGAGAGGTTGAAGAGAGAACAAATTAGACATAGGTGGAGAAGACAGAATGAGCCAGAGAATGTGCAGGAGCCAGAAGATTAGAACAGATTGCTAGAGTTAGTTTGAGGACAAGCAGAGCTATTCAGTGAGAAACTGAGAAAAGCCAGATTGAATCAGTCATCTTGGAGAGGAACTTGAGCTAGAACAGATGAGTTGAACAAGCCAGCCAGAGTTCAGAAAGAGAAAGGGTGAGATTATTAGCAGTAAATCTCAGAGGCTGTAAAGACTCTAGGCCTACATTAGATTGTATAGAGGCCAGAAGCTTCCAGGACTAAGCATGGTTTAGAGAGGAAGGCAGTGAGCCACAATTAAATCAGTCAAATAAAAGTTAAAAGTTTCATTCAGATAAAGGACCAGAAGACTAAGCATGACACCTTTTTTCCAGTAGAACATGGATGTCTGAGGTTTGCCATTTGGATGGGTAGCTGCTTTGATACCATCCTTTTAGTTGCACAGTTGTTGACATTTTATGGAATCAAAATTTCTAAAGATGTGAAAAATGTTCAGCTGTCTTTTCTAGCCTTACACCAGACTCTAAAAAGTCTTATACATAAAAATAAGAGGTACAGCTTTCTAAACATTTTTCAAAACGCTAGCTTAACAATAGGAAAGATATAGTGTAATTAGATTACATCTCCAAATATACGTATTTGTGGGAGAAGATATTTGGGGAAAATTGAATTTAACACTAAAAGTGTTTTTAATATCAGCACATGACCAGTAACATGGTTGTGATCTTTTGAACCTTTTATAGTTAAATACATGATAAAAACTGGAGGGGAAGATAGATGAAATGGTTCAGTCAAATAAAAGGTTTTAAAGACTTAACAGCATAACCTAGAGAAGTGGCTCAGGGGTTAACTTTTGTAGAGGGCCCAGATTCTAGTTCCAGCAACCAACCTTTTACTCCAGTTCCAAGAGATCCATAAGAATATGATAAGAAACAAGATGTCAGGTGAGATATTAAATAAAACCTATTGAACTTGGTCTCTGAGCATATTTACAAAACTACAAATGTAAATAAGAGAAAATCCTAACAAACACTGAAATATAAGCAAATTATTTTTGTTTGTGTTTTTTGGTTTTTGCTTTGTTTTGTTTTTCAAGACAGAGTTTCTGTATGTAGTCATGGCTATCCTGGACTCTTTGTAGGCCAGGCTGGCCTCAAACTCAAAACAATTAGCCTGCCTCTGCCTCCAGAGTGCTGGGACTAAAAGTGTGAGCCACCTTTCCCAGCTCAAGCAAACAGATCTTGATGGAAAGGGATAATGAAGAATTTAAGAAAAAATAAACAAAGATGGGGCAAGGTCTACTACCCAATTCTAAGATGAGAATTTAGCCAAAGAGACCCAGTGGAAAGAAGCTGTGGACCTGGCATGAGGTGCCTTCCTCTAAGGCTTGCTTTGTGTTCAATGACTGTCACTTTTAAGCCTCAAGTATTAAAGATAGGAATGATCTCACCTGAATCAACTTCCACATTGTATGCTGCCATGTTTCTAATGGCCAATTGATTTTAGTTCATTTTTACATAAACATAAATTGTAGCAAAATATTCTGGGCTTTGTTCAATTTTCAAAAATTAAAGTTAATTTGAAATACTGGGTTTCTTGAGCTTGTCAATGCAAAGTTTCTTGAAATGAAATGGAGTGGAGAGCTAGTTACAACTATACTTCAGTATGAATTCATACATTTATTTGTTTTCCAGAAAAGAGGATAAAGAATACAAGTTCTGAGTGATGAAACACAGAAGGAAAATAGTTGCATATAGATAGATACGTGAGTTCATGAGGTAGGTGAATAGCTGAGGTCAGTGGCACATTTTTACAATGACATAAAAACATCATGGAGCCAGAGGAGCTTGAAGTTAAGATTAATATCCCCGTTCATACCTTACATTCACCATTACCTTAGCATTTTTGTGAAAATAATTTGTTTATACAATAGCTGTACTTAGACTCGTGGTGGTCTATTATTGTTTACATATATATATACACACATATATGGCACTTATTTATTTATTTACTTATTTATACTTTTTGAGATAAGATCTCCCTACATTATGCAGTCCAAGCTGGTCTAGAAGTTGTGAGCTCTCTTCTTAGCTTATTTTCTAGACTATTTGAGGACTCCTAAGTATCACAACTACCCAATCTTCTCTTATCAATGAAAATTTCACAATTAAAAATTTTCACAACTTAATAATGTGGGGTACAAAATAGTGTAATTATTAAGCTTCATTTTAAAACACAAAATCATAGATTACACATTGTAATTATGTGGTATTACCATATTAATTATATGATTTTATAAGAACAAGTTATAGATTCTTTTACTTCTAGTTATATATGTTGATGGAGAAAGGATTAAGATCTATACATGATTCTATATATGCATTGACATTCAGACTTTTCATCAAAAAATGTTTTTTATAAAAATATCAAGCTGCCTATTTTATTGGGAACTTTTTCATCTACCATTATTCATCACCAGTCAAAAATAGGAAACATTTAAGTGGTTACGAGTACACAATAAAAGAATTTTAAAGAGAGGATTTGGGAAATCCTAAGATTAAATATACAGTCCATGATTAATTGAGAATTTTCTCTAATCAGAATAATTAGAGAAAAACAAGGAGAGAATGACAGCAATTACAACAAAGGGATTTTAATACAAGATGGAATTAGAAACCACCAGGATATGTGCTGTTTGTAATAGAATTAAATTATCAGCTGTCTTTCCTTGAATATTCAGCCAAGGTGATTTTACAGAGTCTGGGCATTTTGATAAGGAATGAGCTAGACACCTACGCTAATGGAAACTCCCAGGAATCTTTCACGGTGACCCTAGTTAAGACTCCCAGCAATGGGGGATATGAAACCTGGAATGGTCATTTCCATTCTTTTCTGGAATGTAACCATAAAAGACTTCCAATAGAGGGATTTGGACAAAAATCCAGCCACAGATCCTTCAACTCACAATTGTCCTGCCTACAAGATGTGCAGGGGAAATGATGGAGCAGAAATTGGGGAAATGGCCAACCGATAGTTGCCCCAGCTTGAGACCTATGCTCTGAGAGAGAGCCAACCCATGACACTATGAACCATATGCTGCTATATTAGCAGACAAGTGTTAGCATAACTGTCATCTGAGAGACTTCACCAAGCAACTGATGGAAACAGATGCAGAGACTCACAGCCAAACATTTGGTAGAGCCTGAGGAATCCTGTGGAAGAGAGGAAGGAAGGATTGAAGAAGCCAGAGAGGTCAAGGCCACCCCAAGAAAACCTATAGAATCAACTAACCACCTGAACCATCAACCAGAGAGCATGCATGGGATGGAACTAGGCCCTCTGCTTGCACATCCCAGTTGTGCAGCTCAGCTTCCATGTGGGACGCCTAACAGCAGGAGCTGGTCCTGTCTCTGACTCTGTTGCCCACCCTTGGATCCCTTTCCCTTAACTGAGCTACCTTGTCTAAGGGCAATAGCACCTAGTCCTTCTGCAACTTGATTTGCCAAGGCTGTATGATATCCATGGGAGGCCTCCCCTTTTCTGTTTGGGAAGGGAGGCGTGTCCCTTGTAGGGAGGCAAGGTGAGAAGAAGAAACTAGGAGAGAAGAAAGGAAGCTTCAACTGGGGTGTAAAGTTAATAAATTAATTAATTTTAAGAGATCATATATAAATTTCTTCCATGATACTGGGACAAAGAAAACCAAGATACAGCTGCCAAATACAGAAAAGAAAAAAAAAAAAAAAAGACCAGATTCTGCTAACCAAAGTAAAATTGGCCCTATAAATATATATTAACTCTACCATCCATCTAAATAGTAATTTCAAAATATTAAAGTGACATTATTCAGAGATAATATATGGGTTATGATTGTTAACAGGACATCATTTTTCAATTTTGATTTTCATTATTTTATACCAAACCTTAGCTGTGTTAAAATTTATTATATATTTAATTATTGAATATATATGTATTGTGGTGTGCATGTATGTTGGCATTTGCTTGCATGTGTTTGTGGAGGCCAAAAATTTAATGTCAAACATTTTCTTCATTCACTTTCCACTTTATTTTATTTAGGCAGGGTCTCTTCCTGACTCCTGAGCCAGCAATTCTGTAGAGGGATTTTAATTCCGCAACAAGGCTACTCTGGCTGGAATATAGACACACCCTCAGCACACACCTTTAATTCCAAACAATGAAGGTAAAGATAGTTCATAGAAGGAAGCAAGGGAGTTTGAAAGTGATATCTAATTGAAGTGTAGAAAAAGGGACAAATCAGAGAAAGATTTGACAGAACAGGCTATGCCCAACTTCATGAGATCAGAGAGGTAAAAGGTGAAGAGAGCAGCTCAGAGGGAAAGAGGAGGCAGTTTTACCAGGACAGTTATAGAGAGAACAAGCTAGACACAGGTGAAGACAGAACAAGCAAGAGAACAGGGAAACAAAAGATTAGAACACATTAGAGTTAGCTTGAGGCCAAACAGCAATTCATCGAGAAACCAAGAAAGAAGCCAGATGGAATCAGTCAGCTTGGAGAGGAGTTTAAGCCAGAAGAGCTGAGTTGAACCAGCCAGCCAGAGTACAGAA